TCTTGGGGGAGAAGCTTAAAGAAAATCCAGGGATAAAAGTTCTTTGCTCTTTCATTCCCAGCTCCTTCTGCCTCTCCATCTCTGCTTTCTTCTTGTAGTTGAAAATTTCTAGGTATTTTGGAACCTAGAGGGTAAAAAGGAGGGAGAATAAAATCTACACTAATAAAAGAGAAATATGCAAATTGACAGCACCTTTGTGATGCCCACCAGCCAATCAGGAATGAGTATGCAAATTAACCAAAAAAGATGGTGGGTTAATTTGCATATACAGGTGCCAATGGGGGGGGGGGCGGGATGAGATGCTTGTGTTGTCACCATGGTGATGACACAGATGTTTTGCACTGCCCCAGCAACTCCGTGCCTCTGGGCAGTGTGGGAAGGCAGAAAGGTGGCTCCAGCCTGAGCTAAGGCGGTGCCACAGCCAGGGAAAGTATGCCCATTCTTGCATGAATCTTTGTGTATCGGGCCTCTAGTATAAGTATAAGCTACAGTAGTCCAGGTTTTATGACTACTTCCCCTTTTTGTTTAGATTTTAATTATGGGATTCTTGCTTTACTTATAAAAATAAGATATGCTCACTACAATAAGAAAAGCAATTCAAATATATGTAAGACAAAGTTAATGCCTTCCCCTCAATTACTGTCTTACCATAAACAATTTAATGGCCCAATATATCTTCTGCCATACCTTCTTCCAAACTTATTTGACTTACATTATTTAATTTTTTAAAAATCTATTTTGTGGATTGAGTTATATAAACTATATTAAGTCATCTTGGTTTGTTCATAATATTATCACATTTAGTATACTTTAAAAATTCTTACAGACTTACTCCTGTTTAAATCTTGCAGTTTTATAGATAACTGAAATCATAGGCTCTGATTTATAAGCTAAGATTCTACACATCTTTAATCTTTGCCGGCTTCTGAAACAAAATACAATCTTGATGCCTAAGAAACTGTCAAATTTTTGTAAGCCAAAAACATGTAGTGGGCTTGTGGATATAGAGTCTGTATTATATGAAAAAGGTACAAAGTGATATAGCCATTAAAGGAGCTGAGAGGAAAAAACAAAAAATGGGAAGTTACAGAAGTCACTTTTTGTCACAGGAAACTGCCTAATCCATCTCTATTTCTGAGCTATCATTTGACAGCTGTATTTCTGCTGCTTCTGGTGTTTGATATTTTTAAAAGCATATACACATCTGAAATTTGAAAGTTTTCCTGATTGGGATAAGTTTTTTGATCTTAAATGGGTTAGAGGATTCTGAACACTGGCCAATTCCTTTCACTAGTTGGAGAGGATAGAGGAGTCTCCAGCAGGCCACAAGGAAGAGGACCAGAAAGATGTCCTAAGTCCTCATCCATTTGAAAACCAAGTTCTAAGTCTTGCTTGTTTAGTATTCCAGGCACGTGCCTGGAGCTTCCATGTTCTTGTCACTTACATCTGAGTTTGGAACCTGTCTCAAAAGAATCTGCAGTGGTAGGAATTCACTGACAGCAATTGCTTTCATATCTTAATAAAGTTTCTTCTTCCTTCTATTTATTTTGGCCATAGAGATGCACTCCAATTCTTTTGGGCTATTAAAAATGAAAAGATTTGAACTTATCTGGTTCCTTTGATAAGCAAGACTGACCTAACAGCCTAGTCTCACTCAGATATACTTTTTTTTTCCTTTCTAGAAAGATCTCTTTATAATCTTAAATTTTCTGGATTCAAATCTAAAAGATGTCCTCATCAAATAGCCAAACTACACTTCTGGTTACTTTATTATCTTAAATCATTTATTTTTATTGACTATTTTTATTCTTAGTAAAATTTTTAAAAATTACTGAAGTAACAATCTATTTTATTCTTTCCTTTCTGCTTCCTCTTGAGGACAGAAGCTGAGTGGCTTTAACATGTCTCATAATTGCTTTTGCTCTTTTCTGGAATTTCTGGAGAGAGTCCAGCTTCATGTTGTCATTACGATGCCTGCTAAAGCGATGCATGCACACCCCACAACAACCACAGCCACTGTGTTATTTGTATTGTGTGTCATCACTGCAAATGCTTTGCCATTCCCCATCTTCCAGAATGTTCCATATGGTATGCCTGGTATTATCTGCATTGCATCTTTTCTTTCTTTTCTGCTCTCTCTTCTCCTCCCCCCCCCCCCCCCCAAAAAAAAAGGATTGCAATGTATCTAAAGTGTTTTTATCCCTTCTCCATGATTATTCATCTAGTTTATCAGTTTGGGAAGACCCAGTGCTTCTAGCTTCTTCTTTATACAGATTCCAGAATCCATCCATGCTCTGTCTGAAAGAGGCTATTTTAAAGAATAACTGCTGGGCAAATGGCATAATGCCTTCATTGTTTAAAGATGTTCTGCAGGAATTTTCAGTGTTTGATAAGAGTGTTCCTAAAGACTGTCTGACTCTGGGCAGATTCTGGTTGGTTTTGGTGAGTCAGGAATGTCTCCAGTTAAGCCATTGAGAGTTTGGGGGTGTGCCTTCCCTGTGAATTAGTTCAGGACAGTTATTAAACAGCCTGTGGTGATGGGGCCATGCTTTTCACTTCGTGATCTCCTTGTTCTCTTTGGAAGCATGCATTTAATTTGTGCATGGTTCTAGTAGCATTTACGACAATATTGGCAAAGAACTTTTGTTTTCCCCCAACTTTACTGAAATACAGTTGACATATACCAGTAACATGGTGTAAGTTTAAGCTGTGCAATGTGATGATTTGAAAATGCTTTATTGCCTCCATATGCACTATGTTGAACTCTCTAGGTAAATGTCAGTGCTGGTTGGCTGGTACCCACCACCCGTGAGCTCATAGATGTAGAAACAGTGCCTTTTCATGGTAACAACGTGGAGATAACACTGACGATTTCATCTTACGTATAGCCAGCATTACCAGAAAAAAAAAGTAGATTTGTAAAAATCAAATCATATTTATCAAAATTGAATATAGTTTTATTTAGCATCGTTGTAAAATGTGTTGTTTCCCACAGCACTGTGGATCCCAGGGCCACCAAAATCCAGGAGGACACATGTTCCAACTTTCAATTGGCTTTCACCTTGGTTCTTTCTTCCTTTCTTTCTCTCTCAGTCCTGTGCCTTTTGAGCAACATGCCTGTTTTCATCTCAGAAATAGCAGCTCTTGTCCATGCCACTCAGGGCCTTTTGAGACTGAGCCATGAGGACAGAGATAAGTCACCACTAATCCCAAGAAGCAGGGAATTCTGAGCCTGTTTGTTGTCACTGTGACCCTGGAAGCAGTCATGCCCCCGGGTCCTGGGCTTGTGGGCTGCAGTGCATGCTTCTGAGGGCTCAAGGGCGTTTTATATAAAAGGGCCTCTTATTACACAGTCATTCATTTTGAGGGCATGACGCTATTTTGATTCATTTTACTAAACAGCTAGTATACAGATTTAAAGAAATTGAATTTTAATCAATAATTTATTGAAAAGATATTATAGTATACATACAAGATTTTTTAAACACAAAATTTAAAGGGAATACAGTAGGTATGAGTCTCCCTTGCACCAGCTTTCTCCCTACATTTTGTCTCTTTATCATAAAGGACCACCCATGGATATGAACATCTTTACATTTCCAACCAGGAGCATGCTTTATACTGTTCCTCACTGGACCTTCACTTGGAAATTATTTTCATGTCAGTACATAAACAGTAGCTCTTATTCTTCTTGAAGGTTGTGCCATAAATTTTAAAAAAAATTTTTTTCAATTACATTTGACATATAATATCATCTTAGTTCCAGGTGTACAACATAGTAATTAGACATTTATATACCTTATGAAGTAATCTCTTGATGAGTCTAGTACCCATCTGACACCATACATAGTTATTACAATATTATTGACTACATTCCCTACGCTGTACTTCACATCCCCATAAACCATCTTTCTAATGATGTATAGTAACTTTATAGTCTTTTCCTTTACAAACAGTTCTGCCATAAATATCCTTGTTTGAACATCTGTGCAAACAGATCCAAGTATATGGTTCCTGGAGGACAGATTCATAGAAGCGAAGCTGCTAGGCAGACATCACCGATTGTCCTTCCAAGAGACTGTTCCAAAATTCCTGAACCCCTACCCGCAGGAATTTTCACAGAGCCCACTTTCCATGCTTTCTCCAACTCACTGCATTATGAATCTCATAAGACAGAATGGTATGCCCCTGTGATTTCAACACGCCTTCCTTTCATTGGGAGCAAACTAGAAGCATCTTTGCATATGTTTAAGGCATGCATTAATTTTCTCCCCTTGTGGAGAGGGGACCTTAGTATGCCAGGCCTCCATAGCTCTCCCCCTCCTGGATACTGGCTCATTTCTTAGACAGCCTTCACTCCTGTGTTTCTGTGCATCTGTTCTGGCACCCACCCGCCCTTCAAACCCCACAACTCTCCTCCAGCGGTCCCTCTCGCTTCCCTGCCTTTCTGAGATGCCTGGCATATCCGAGTCTAACAAGGGTTGGGAGTGTGGAGAGGGGGGATTGTGTGTCCTGAGTGAAGGAGTAGCTTTTAACTCACTTGCTTTTAATGAGAAGAATCTCCCGATTCATAGTACAAGGAGGCTGGAGGAAGGAGGAAGATCAGAGAGTAAATGAAGAAAAAGAACTGGAATAGCTCCTTCCATAAGAAAACACTAAGATTGGCCCAGAACTAACTATCTTGTGCTCTAAGAGGGAGGAGGTCATTGGGGACAGGAGCCATCTGGCACATGGTCCTCCAAGATGGTGGGTCGGGCACCAGTCAGATCAGGAGAGAGTCAGGTCCTGCTCTCACCCCAAGGTCCTGGGTGCTGGTTCAGTGTGAGAGCTAAAGCTTCGGAGCCTGGGCCATCATGAAGAAATGCAGTTACCTTCCCACCTCTCTGGTCCTGTTTCCCTAGGAAGCAAGTTTGGCCGCAGTCCCCAGTCTTGCAAAGCAGCAGCCCTGCCTGGGCACAGGGCAGCAGCCAGAGCAATGGTGGGAGCCCTGAAGCTGCCCCATGGCTGCTGAGCGTGCTGCCCAGTCAGGGAGTCGAGTGGCGGGCATGGTGTGCAGCCTCCGGGTCCTGCTCCTGGTGTCCTCTGTTCTGGCTCTGGAAGGTAAGAGGGAGGGGGTGCCAGAGAACCCTCACTTGCTATTACAGACCCAGTACACCTGGGAAATGGGAAAGATTCAGAGCAGGCAGAAAAAGACCAAGGACATCAAGAAGGGGCTGGTGAGGAGTGGGGAGGGTTTCAGAGAAAGGCTCCCCAGTCAGCTGTGCTCCTGCTAGTGAATTACAGGGACCAGGAAGGGAGATTCTGTTTTTATTCCTGGGAATGACTGGGGGTGGGGGTGGGGGGAGAAAAAGGGAGGCTGTGTTGGTGGAGCCTTGGCCACTGCTTGTCCCTTCTTATCTCTGGGCAGATGTATTGCTGGACACCAGCGGAGAGACATCTGAGATAGGCTGGCTCACCTACCCACCAGGTGGGGTGAGTGTCACTTGCATTCTGAACCTGCGGCCCCACCCTCACCCTTCTCCCTGGAGGGTGAAACTGGGGAAGGAAACCTTGGGTAGGACTAATAGAGTAATATTTTTCCCTCCTGAGGAGCAGGGCTTTGGGCCATCTTTTACCCTGCTTTGCATGTTGTTAATTTTTTAAGTCTCAGAGAAAGAGATATGTCCCCTTCCTGCACCCTCCAAGCCCTGAGCTGCTAACACCCATCTTCCCGCCCTCTCCTCCCCGCAGTGGGACGAAGTGAGCGTTCTGGATGACCAGCGACGCCTGACCCGGACCTTTGAGGCCTGTCACGTGGCAGGGTCTCCGCCAGGCACCGGGCAGGACAACTGGCTACAGACACACTTTGTAGAGAGACGCAGTGCCCAGAGGGCACACATCCGGCTCCACTTCTCCGTGCGGGCTTGCTCCAGCCTGGGGGTGGCGGGGGGCACCTGCCGGGAGACCTTCACTCTGTACTACCGCCAGGCAGAGGAGCCCGATGGCCCCGACAGTGCCTCAGCCTGGCACCTCAAACGCTGGACCAAGGTGGACACGATTGCGGCGGACGAGAGCTTTCCTGCCCCCTCTGCCTGGGCAGTGGAGCCCCACGGGCCGGGGCCGAGGTCTGGGCTGCAGCTGAATGTCAAAGAGCGGAGCTTTGGCCCCCTGACCCAGCGTGGCTTTTACGTGGCCTTCCAGGACACCGGGGCTTGCCTGGCCCTCGTGGCCATCAAGCTCTTCTACCATGCCTGCCCCTCCGTGCTCCGTGCCTTCACCTCTTTCCCTGAGACCCAGGCCAGCGGGGCTGGGGGGGCCTCCCTGGTGGCAGCCATGGGCACCTGTGTGGCTCACGCTGAGCCAGAGGAGGATGGAGGTGGCGGCCAGGCTAGGGGCAATGCCCCCAGGCTGCATTGCAATGGAGAGGGCAAGTGGATGGTCGCAGTCGGAGGCTGCCGCTGCCAACCAGGGTACCAACCTGCACGTGGAGACAAGGCCTGCCAAGGTGAGGCCCTAGCCCCCACATGCTTGTCCAAGATCTCCCCACCTGCCCCGACCTTTCAGCTCCTTCTGTGAACACTCCCCAACTTCATTGTGTCCCCCCAAAGGTTAGGATTAAGCTACCTGAGGGAAGGACTCCTTTTTATTTCCTAAAGCAATACAAATACAAACGAACTCTCATCCACTCATCTGACAAACTTTTTAAAATATATTTTATTGGTCTTTTACAGAGAGGAAGGGAGAGAGAGGGACAGAGAGTTAGAAACATTGATGAGAGAGAAACATCCATCAGCTGCCTCCTGCACACCCTTTACTGGGGATGTGCCCGCAACCAAGGTACATGCCCCTGACTGGAATTGAACCTGGGACCTCTCGGTCCGCAGGCAGATGCTCTATTCACTGAGCCAAACCGATTTGGGCATGAAATTTTTAGCACCTTCTGGAGACTTCCACAGCCATTGTGAGGCTCCTAGAGGTTCGGGCCTGAGAAGTGATGGTAATCAGAAGGAGTTGAACTCCTGGGTTATCTTAGGATGGGGTCCTTTGTCCGATTTTGCCCTGTATTTGGGGTGGGCTCATCTCAGGTTCAGGTGGCTAGGATGTAGGTGGGAAGCAGTGAATCCCAGCTGAGGAAGAGGAGAGTGATTCTGCCACAGGTGAAGGTTGCAAGAGACTCTGCGGAGGGAGGTTATGCAATCAGCCTGCAGACGCCTATGGTTGGCCTGCCCATAACCCCCGCCCACCTCACTGTTTCCATTAGTGGAAATGCGATTCCACCCCAGTTAAGTGGCAGAAATAATCTCTGCCTGAGGGAGGGAAAGAGGGGGCCGAGAGCTGGGGGTTCCATCTCAGGAGAAAAGAGGAACCAGCCTGGTATGGGGGCTCTGGAGAGGGAGGTACTGAATAAGCGGAAGCCTCCACTCTTCTCTCTGTTCCTCAGCCTGCCCAGCGGGGTCCTACAAGGCCTTGGCTGGGAACAGCCCCTGCTCCCCGTGCCCTGCCCGCAGCCATGCCTCTGAGCCCGCAGCCCCCATTTGTCCCTGCCTTGAGGGTTTCTTTCGGGCCAGTTCTGACCCCCCACAGGCCCCTTGCACTGGTAAGTCCCCCCATCTATCCCAGAGGTAGAAACAGGACAGGGAGTGGGGCGGGAAGAGGGGGATCCCAAGGGTGGCAGGTGGGGCGGTTGTGCATTGGCAGTGACTTCTCTTTCTCCTATGTCCTTGGCTTCCTCCCCTACCTCCTCACCTGTCTCTCTCTCCCTGCCCATCCCACCTGGTCCACCTCCTGCCTCTGCATTTTGGCTCCACCCTGTGCTGTGTGTCTCCGCCCCTGGATGACACTCAATCACTGCCTTCTGTGTCCCTTTCCGCCCCTTCCGGCGCCCAGGCCCTCCCTCGGCTCCCCGGGAGCTTTGGTTCGAGGTGCAGGGCTCGGCGCTGATGCTGCACTGGCGCCTGCCCCAGGAGCTCGGGGGGCGCGGGGACCTGCTCTTCAACGTGGTGTGCAAGGAGTGCGGGAGCCCCGGGGAGCCCGGCCGCGGGGGCGCCTGTCACCGCTGCGGGGACGAGGTGCACTTCGACCCCCGCCAGAGGGGCCTGACCGAGAGCCGGGTGTTAGTCGGGGGGCTCCGGGCACACGTGCCCTACATCCTGGAGGTGCAGGCCGTCAACGGAGTCTCAGAGCTCAGCCCTGACCCGCCCCAGGCCGCATCCATTAACATCAGCACCAGCCACGCAGGTGAGCCTTTTCCTCCCGAAGGCCTGGCCTCACCTCTTCAGAGCCCCTCCCCGACCCCCGCTTTCCGCTTCCTGACTCCCCTCCCCAGTGCCCTCCGCAGTCCCGGTGATGCACCAGGTGAGCCGGGCCTCGGACAGCATCACCGTTTCCTGGCCGCAGCCGGACCAAACCAACGGGAACATTCTGGACTATCAGCTGCGCTACTACGACCAGGTGGGAGCTCGTGGGGCATCCCCTTAGATGGGGTAGGGAGATGGGGTGAGGTGGGGGTGGGGGTTCTGGGTGCCCAGGAGCCCTGAGGAAAGTGGGAGGAGCCTGAGGCCTTGGGGAGCTGGGACTGGCAGACAGGGAGTGAGTGGCTGTCACCCCCAGGCAGAAGATGAATCCCACTCCTTCACCCTGACCAGCGAGACCAACACAGCAACCGTGACCCAGCTGAGCCCCGGCCACATCTATGGCTTCCAGGTTCGGGCTCGGACAGCTGCGGGCCACGGCCCCTTCGGAGGCAAGGTCTATTTCCAGACACTGCCCCAAGGTGAGAGGAAGCCTGGGTGGAAGGCACCAGGGGTAGTGAGTGAGGAGCAGCCAGGGCCCTGCAGGCCAAAGGCTGTGAGGGGAGTTACTGGCTGAACTACGATCTTTGGCTCTGTGGGTGGGTGTGTGTGGGTGAGTGTGAGTGTGTGGGGGGTGTAGTGGTGTGTGTGTGGGTGGGTGTGGGTGAGTGTGGCTGGGTGTGGCTGGGTGTTGGTATGGGTGTGGATGGATGTGGGTGGGTGTGGTGGGTGTGTGAGTGGGTGAGTATGGGTGAATTGGGTGGGTGTGGGTGGGTGTGTATGGGTGAATGTGGGAGTGTGTGGGGGAGTGAGTGGGTGGGTGTGAGTATATGAGTGGGTGGGTATGGGTGTATGGGGGTGTAGGTGCATGTGGGTGTGTGAGTGGGTGGGTGTGGGTAGGTGTGGGTGTATATTCAAGTGAGGCCTTGATCTCCTATGAACATGGGCCACTGGTTCCTCAGGTGAGCTGTCTGCCCAGCTTCCGGAAAGACTCTCCTTGGTGATTGGGTCCATCCTGGGGGCCTTGGCCTTCCTCCTGCTGGCTGCCATCACCGTGCTGGCTGTTGTCTTTCAGAGGTGAGCCCCCCTCACCGTGTCCCCACCACCTCTCTGCCTTACCTTCAGCCCTGGAGGCCCAAGCCCACTACAGAAACCCCCACGCCCAGCTCTCTCTTGGGTCCCATGCAGAGGTGGGAGGGAAGGACCTGTCTCAGGCTAGCCAGCAGCCTGTGTGGGGGAAGGGGGAGGAGAAGGAGTGTCATTCCAGGGCTCTGGTTTGACCATCAGGAAGCGGCATGCGACAGGCTACACGGAGCAACTGCAGCAGTATAGCAGCCCAGGTGAGAGGTTTGGGGGCATGGGGCCCAGCTGGGGGGTGCAGAGATGAAGAGCTGGGAGCTCAGGCCAGGAGCACACCAGCCAAGGTGGGCTCCCCTGAGGTGGAGGGCACCAGGGAATGCCTGCGGTGTATGAGCCGTCTAGCCTGGCACCACACCCTCATAACGTACCCCTACAGGGCTGGGGGTGAAGTATTACATCGACCCGTCCACATACGAGGACCCCTGCCAGGCCATCCGAGAATTTGCCCGGGAGGTGGACCCTACCTATATCAAGATCGAAGAGGTCATCGGGGCAGGTACTTCAGCAGCAGAGAGGGCGGGCCTGGCGGGATTCCTTTTAACCATGAGCCTGCGGTCCTTCCTTGACCGCTGCCCAACCTACACCTGTCTCTCCCCCTTCCCCCCAGGCTCCTTCGGAGAAGTGCGCCGGGGCCGGCTGCAGCCCAGGGGCAGGCGAGAGCAGGCGGTGGCCATCCAGGCCCTGTGGACTGGAGGTGCCGAGAGCCTGCAGATGACTTTCCTCAGCCAGGCTGCGGTGCTAGGCCAGTTCCAACACCCCAACATCCTCCGGTTGGAGGGCGTGGTCACCAAAAGCCGGCCTCTCATGGTGCTGACTGAGCTCATGGAGCTGGGTCCCCTGGACAGCTTCCTCAGGGTCAGTTGGCCTGAGGAAAGGTGGAGGGCCCTGGGTTCTGGGAAAGTGTACAGTTCTAGACTGTTCCAGGGGCAAAGCTCTAGACCTTTGCTCCCTCCTACCCACCTTCAGGGGTTTTCAGCCTTCGTTCCCAGGCCGTTTTCTGATCCCCTAAATCCTGCACCCACTCATGCTAATGTCTGCTGTGTGCGTGTGGAGGCTCCCATGCAGTTGCTGACCTCTGCTCCTCCCGCCCTCCCCAGCAGCGGGAAGGCCAGTTTAGCAGCCTGCAGCTGGTGGCCATGCAGCGGGGAGTGGCCTCCGCCATGCAGTACCTGTCCAGCTTTGCCTTCGTCCACCGAGCGCTCTCCGCCCACAGCGTGCTGGTGAATAGCCACCTGGTGTGCAAAGTGGCCAGGCTTGGTCAGAGCCCTCAGGTGAGAACAGCCTGGGGCTCTGCATTCTTCAGCAGGTGCCAGAGGATGAGCCAGAACCTGGGGAGGGGACCTTGGGTGGCATAGCATTGTGTATGAAGGGATGAAAGTCACCTGTGCTTCCTCCAAGAGAGAAGCCTGGGCAAAGAGGGCATTGAAGGATGTCAGGGCTTGAGAAGGGGAAGGTGGGAGAGCTCAGAAACCTAGAATCCCTTCCTGCCTTTCCCCGAATGAGCACAGGCATTCTAAGTCAGAGCAGCTGGGCCCAAATTCTGAACACTCCACCCTAAGCTCTGTGACTTTGCTCAAGTTCTTATCGCTTGATGCCTCAGCCTCTACAAAATGAAGATAGCATCTACCCTGCAGGGTAGTTGTGAGGATTAAGAGAGATGCTTGATGTGAGACCTTTGACTCAGTCTGAGCGCAGAGTAGTTGCTCAATAAATGTGACTGTTGTTGTGATCATCGCTATTGGTGCTTTTAACCCTACCCCTCAGGGCCCAAGTTGTATGCTTCGCTGGGCAGCCCCAGAGGTCATTGCACATGGAAAACATACCACATCCAGCGATGTCTGGAGCTTCGGGATAGTGATGTGGGAAGTGATGAGTTATGGAGAACGGCCCTACTGGGACATGAGTGACCAGGAGGTGAGCTCTTGACCCAGACATTGAGGCTTCCCCACCCCTGATCCTTCCCACCCACCAGCCTCACGGACTCCCACATTCTAAGACCTCCATTCTGGCCCTAACCAGTTTGGCTCAGTGAGTAAAGCATCGGCTGCAGACTGCAAGGTCCCAGGTTCAATTCTGGTCAAGGGCATGTACCTCAGTTGCAGGCACATCCTCAGTAGGAGGTGTGTAGGAGGCAGCTGATCGATGTTTCTCATTGATGTTTCTAACTCTCTATCCTTCCCCCTTCCTCTCTGTAAAAAAAATAAAAAATATACTTTTAAAGTTTTTTAAAGACCTCCATTCTGTGATCGATTTCCTCCCTAAGATTTCATGGCTTTTGCTTCCTGTATTTTTAAATTCCTTCACCAGTGTACCCTCATGCTCTACCTGATCTCAGCCCACCCCCTTACTTAACAATATACTCTTTCCACTTACAACTTTCCCTCACCATATGCTTCCTCTAATCCCCAGGTGCTAAATGCAATACAGCAGGAGTTCCGGCTGCCTCCACCTCCTGGCTGTCCTCCTGGACTACATCTACTTATGCTGGACACTTGGCAGAAAGACCGTACCCAGCGTCCCCACTTTGACCAGTTAGTGGCTGCCTTTGACAAGATGATTCGCAAGCCAGACACTCTGCAGGCTGGCGGGAGCTCTGGGGACAGGTCTGGAGCTTGGGACTGGAGCCTGGGAACGCCAGGGAGGGTCGATGCAAATGAAAAAGAAAACTGAGGAGCTGGGGCTAAGATGAAGAGGGGACTTTAACCTGCCTACACCCCCCCCCCCCCCTTAGACCATCCCAGGCCCTCCTGAACCCTGTGTCCTTGGACTTTCCTACTCTGGATTCACCTCAAGCCTGGCTTTCCGCCATTGGACTGGAGTGTTACCAGGACAACTTCTCCAGGGGTGGCCTCTGCACCTTCAATGATGTGGCTCAGCTCAGCCTGGAGTAAGCAGGGAGAGGTGGGTGGGGGAGCTTCTGGGCCCTAGGCCAGGGTCGTGCCTGAGATCTTGGAGATACTGGCTCAGTTTTGATCCACTCCTTCCCCACCAGAGACCTGCCTACCCTGGGCATCACCCTGGCTGGCCACCAGAAGAAACTGCTACACAACATCCAGCTCCTGCGGCGGCACCTGAGGCAGCCAGGCTCAGTGGAGGTCTGAGGTCCTGGCAGGAAGCTGTGACTGAACGATGCTTAAGACACAGCCGGGACACAGACCCAAGGAGGGATGTGGGAGACGTGAGCAGTCTCCATCTTGGCCTCTCGTGCCCAGTATATTTCTCCATCTTGGCCTCTCGTGCCCAGTATAACCCAACCCTCAGGATGCTTCCTTCTCCTGCCCTCTATCCCTTCCCCACATTAAAAGGGAAAAGAAGGGATTTTGCAAGTTGGAGGTGTGGTGAGGCCTCACTCTGCAAGGAGCCCCCCGCTCCCCTGCACTCCCTCCCCAAGGTGGCGTGGCACTGCACAGCAGGGAGCAGAGTAGGGAACAATTTATTGGAAGATAGAAGGTGACAAGACTCAACCAGAGTCACTACAGAACAGTGTCTGTCCCCACTCACACATTTTCTCCACACGCCTCCCTAAAACTTCCTAGAGCACCTAGACAGGGTCCACTCCTTCCGCTCTGACATGGGGCGGAAACTGGGTGCAAAGGTGGCAAGCCAGTCCTTAAAGTGCTTTGCTGTGACAGTGCAGCAGGATTCCATTTAAGCCCAAAACAGGGCACCAGCCACATCCCAGCTTTCTGCTTGCTCCAGAGCCCAGTGAGGAACAGAGACCTGGGTACAGGGATTCCCGACTATTCTATTCCTTTCCTCCTTGACCTGGAAGGTTAGACCTCTAGGTATGTTTGGTTTTGCAATGTTCCCAGGAACGTAAAAGCAACTGCTGGGAACCAAAGCAAGAACACACGCTCAGATCTGATACTCCAAGCCCTCCTCTTCCAGACCCCTGTTGACCGCCCCCGTCAATTCTGTCTTCAGGATCCCCTGTCGAAGTTTCTCCCAGTTGGTGCTGCTGCGGGAAGTGCTCCGAGACACCGAGGGGGTAGGAAGGGACAAGTTGGGGCCAGAGGGGCGATGTGGGAGTTTTTCTGAATCTTTGTCCAAGTCATCGGATCCCCGGTTGTAGAAGGCCCGTGCATAGTGCCGGACTCGTTGCTGGTAGAAGTCCTGCTTGTCTTCCACCCTGGGGAGGACAGATGACTTGAGAAATGGCAAGGGCCACGAGCTAGATCTGCTCGTCTCCTGTGCACATCCCACCCCACCCCACCATGATGGGCCTTTTCCTTGTTTGCTGCTGGTGTGGCAGGTGGTCCCAGCCCTTCAGCAACTAGGCCATGGGGACTAGGAAAAGCACAAGACCCCTGAGATCATAACGCCCAGCCCCTCACGGTCACTCACCTGAGGAACCAGCGGTCCCCCAGCCCATAATCTCCCCCAAAGATCCCGGAGCGAGGCCATAGGCAGCGAGGCAACTTCCGCTCCAGCATCACTGTGGTGGCCACAACCTGCATGCGGGGACAGGGGAAGTAGGGAGAGGCTGGGTGTAGACTGAGATGAAGTGTAGGGATAAGGGAAGATGCTAGGCAGAGGGATGACAGTTAAACAGCAGCTGGGAAACTCAGGAACACTGGTTTCCTAGGGACAAACAGCACTCTTAAGCTGAGGATAGTGATGTCAGCTTTGTTAATGGGATATGAGCCTCACAGTTCTATGCCTCACAGTTCTATACCTAGTGACTTGGCACCGTGCTGATGCTGATGGTTGGTGACTTTACTCCAAGAACAATGGGAAGGTGAGCAAAGCAAGGATACAGGATATTTTGACCCTATAGATATATAGGCCATTTTGAATGCAAACATACTACTGAGACATCTAATGTCAGTACATTTGCCTGGAAAAAAAAATATTTTCCTGAGCAAACCCCATTTAGCCACTTCATTTTCCTTATAAACTCTATTTTCTACAAAGCACCATTAAATGCTATCCAATTTTCAGGATATCCATTTTTATTTTGTGGGAATTGTTTTTGTTGAGATAAATTATTTTTTGCATAAATTTTAAAGTAATGATTTGATTCATTTAATGGCCTCTTGTCCCCATCTGGATGCTCTGAACATATTTTCTGCTATTGGAAGGGGGTTTTTGTGGCATTATTTTTAACATGTCAAATTTTCCTGGGTCACATTTTGAAGACTGAAATACTGACAAAAGGATGGCATACTCCAGTTTTTATTCAGTAGCAAAATTTTGCAGAAAGCCACTATTAGCTTTATTCTTTAATTTTTATTGTTTTAGAAAATGCATGTTTTAATTTTTGAGCAAACTGTGAGGAATTATTTCCAGTTATTTCAGTATTGTTCATTGGTATTGCTAATCCAATTATACTATATACTGCATTATTCTGTGTACTGTAAAAACTACCCAAACATATGGGGTCAAAATATCCTGCTTTTATCTAAATTTGGCCTAGTCTTCTTGAAGGAAATTATTTGCACTAACCTTCTCAGCCACTAGGGGACTCACCTGAGCTCTCCAGAGCTCATCCCTCTCATGAGCCACCCTCCAGTGAGTGTCGCCCATCATGGCAATAAGGAGGTTGAGCATGAGCAGTGTTGCAATGATTCCGAAGGCAGCGTACGTGATGCTGTACATGAAGGGCAGATCCACGTCATAGTTGGCAGGGCCATCAATGATGGTGAGGAACATCTCAAAGGTGCTGAACAGTGCCATGGGGTAATTGTAGAAATGGCCCAGCTCATCGGGGTTCTCTGTCTGGAAGATGATATAGAAGGCTGCTCCACCCAAGGGGGGTGAGAGTTAACCATGGTTAGAGTAACCATGGACATGACCAAACTCCATCCAGCTCTTCTCTGCCCGTTTTCCTTATCTCCATAGCACCATTCCAACCCTTCATCACTCCATACTTTAGGTTCTTATATTGCCATATTTTCCATATCGCTTATCCTCCTGATCCCAAGAGCCAACTCTCTCAAACACTCCCAGTTTTTCCTCATCTCTAAGGGAGTTCCATCCTCAGACATCATGATCCCACTCACTACCTCCTACCTTTCCCCAAGTTTATTCCAGCAGTTCTATGTTCTCTAAAATCCTCCAATCTCCCCTTCCCATGGTCCCAATTATGAACAATGATTTACCTGAGGTAAAGCCCAGGATGACCACAGCCATCAGCCAGCAGAATCTCATCAAGTCCCCAAAAATCATCTAGAGAGGGAAGGGAGAACATCATATCTCTTGCTGGAACCACTGCTCCTTCTATCCTGGAACAGGATCTAACTGAAAAGTCTCACAGCTTCACCCTATAAGATGACTGGCAAACTATGGTTGTAGGCCAGCTCTGTTTGGCCTATTTTAGTATGGCCCTTAAACTAAGAATAGTTTTTATATTTTTAAAGATTTGGGAGGCGGGGGAGAAGGAGGAAAAGAATATACAACAGAGACCATAATTTGGCTCACAGTGCCCGAGATATTATCTATTATCTGGCTCTTGACAGAAATGTTTGTAGCCTCTTCCCTAGGACCTTGTTCTAGGAAGCGTGAAGGGAGACACAAACCTTCTGGATCATGATGGTGAAGGGGCCCAGCATCTGGAATCCTCGGGCGAAGTACATGACATTGCACCACCCCAGCACCAGGGCGAAGGACATGGGGACCACCTCCCCACTGGTGTTGGTGAGCCTCATCACCATGGTGACCAGCACCATGCAGGCATAGGTGATGCTGGGGGGAGAGCAGAGAATATGTGATGAGAAGGCTCTGGGATTATCCTGGGAACCCTAGAGCAAAAGTGTGACTAAGACAGAACCCACACACTCAGATTCAGTCTTTGCAAGCTCAATACACAGGATCACACACATCACTTGTGAGGGCTCTGTGGGATTAAAGTTCTGTAGGGGTCAGGAATCCAGGAGGTAAAACTAGAGCCCTAGTGAGGGAAGGGATGGAAGTGAGGAAAGAAACTCACATGAGGACATGGAATGGCCCTCCAAGGATGGTATGTCCAAAGAATTGAGTGACTCCCACCCTGAAGATGTCTGGAATCTAGAGAAACACAAAGGCACTTATTGGCCAGGGCTCAGGCTAGAACCTTGGATCAGACAGTCTCACCCCAAACCCAGTCCACACCATACCTCTACAATCAGGATGAACACAGCTCCAATGACAGTTATCAGTTCCCCTACCAGTCGGATAGCATCCTCGGGGGTCACATAGGCCTCCTGAGGAGAGAAACATGGTCAATACTCAGGGTTTTCATGCATCTGCCCTGCCTGCCCTTGATCAGAAGTCAAAGTCCCTTGTTTGATTTTTCCTTTAAAAAATGGATTTTTAAAAATTGACTTTTAGAGAAAGGAAGAGTGAGAGAGAGAGAAACATTGATTTGAGAGAAAACCATCAATTTGGGCATGCTCACTGACCAGGAATTGAACTGTCAACCTTTCAGTGCACAGGGATGATGCCTAATCAAGTGAGCCAGTGCTTCATTTTTTTTAACCTGTTTAACTAGCTCCAACTCCACTCTGAGTGTATGTGTTTTTCTACATGTGTGTATTTTGAATTTGTGTCTATGTGTTTGAGACCTGAGTGAGGGGGAAAGTGTGGGCTATAGGACAAGTGATAACAAGTCTGAGAAAGGGGAGAAAGTGGACCCTGCCCAAAAACTCAGTTGCTTCTAGTGTGTCACCTGAAGGAGCTTCTGCTGCAGGAGGGTGTTGTCCCTGGGCTGTGTGCGGTTATCAGTCCTGGGCTTCAGGGGGCGGTAGATGCAGCACACAGTGAAGCAGATGATGTAGAGCACATACAAGGCACCCAGCAGGCAAAAGTAGGGCCGCCCGTATCTCTTCCATTTGAGGCTCACCAGCTCCTTCACTGGTGTCTGGTCCAGGATCTGGCGAGCCTGCAGCAGGAATAGAACAAGTGGCTCCAAGACTCTGATGTCCCTCCCCAGCAGCTCTCTGATCTGAACTCTTTTTACCTCCCGCTTCTTGGTGGTGACAATAAGTTCCAGCAGTGATGGCTCATCTCCCGAGGAATCGATCTCTGTGAGATCATAGAGGGTATAGGTTGTCAACCCAAATGTCCCCTGGCTGTGCTTCCACTTCTGCATGAGATGATTGAACATCTGGGGGAGAGGGGACACAGAGTCAGGAGGAACTAGTAAAGGGGAGGGTCACAGAGTGGGAGTGAGAAGCAGGTCCAGGAGAGGAGCATCCCTGGAAAGGGATGATCACACCTTTTGGGGCAGAAAGACCCATGTTTACACTGACCCCTGAATTGCTTTCTGATCCCTTGGATTGCTTTACTCCCTCTAGAAGTTGGGAAGAGGTGAGAGTTTAGAGGACTGCTGCCTATGTATGGAGTGGAAATATGGGTGGATGTATGTATTACAAACCACCATAGCGTGGGATCTAGAATATATCCTCCAACACCTCAGAAAAGAGATAATGGGCAAGAAAGAATCAGGAACAAGGGAGATGGGCTGAGCAAACAATTCCAACCTGAAAATGGGAGCTAGGCATCAAGGATGAATGTTTACATCTATTTCCTCAAAGGACTAGAGGTATAGGATGGGGTCATTAGAAGGACACCAGGGGGTTGGAGGGTGTCTCTCACCACAGTGTTGCCCTCCACTCCAGCCAGCTTGAAGGGGGTAAGACCCTGGTGATTGGGCACAAGGTCCAGGGACTGCAGGTGGTCCCCACGCCTGTCATAGGACAGCAGCAGGTTGTACATCTGGCAGGCAAAGTTCTTGTTGGGCTGGAAGACGAGGATGTGCAACACTGTGTTTCCTGGGGAGGACACCAGTGTCATGTGGCTACTGGACCCCAGTCCTCGACGGTCCCCATTCCCCCCACCCCCAGTGGGCCTGACCATTGTCCCAGACCCTACTCTCCCATCCCCTTCCTGTTCCCCAGGTCCTTTCCACACTCCAGTGCTTACCCAGAGAGTCCTGGGCCCGGATGTTAGCTCCATGTTCAATCAGCAGACGCACGATCTCCTCACTGCCCACGCAGGCAGCAAAGGACAAAGGGTGCTCCCCTGGGGAGACAGAGGGCTCCATGGCATGAGAACAGGCTGGGATGGGCACCTCCCCAGTGACTGCTTATTCCTCCAGCTCAGCTGTGGACTTGGGGACATTTGTCAGCAGAACCAGAGGCAGGGATGGTGCAGAGGCCCTGAGGGAATGGGCTCTGGCCTTAAGCCCTATAAAGATTAACCCCAGTCCATCCTCCCCCTCTTCCCCTCAGGCACAGAGCTCTCCTCATCCCATCCTCCCTTGGCTCTTGCCCAGCCCTGGCTGTGGTTCTCACCAAAGTAGATATGGTTGTGGGGGCTGAGGTGGAAAGCTGTGCCTATAGCTCTGGCAGAGACGCTGGCCCCATGGGCGAGCAGGGCTCGTACCAAGTTCACATTCTGGTTCATGATGGCCACGTGCAGTGCAGTCTGACCTGGTTTAGAGAGAGCCCTCAGTCATCGGGTCTGTTTCCAGGATTGTGTAGGGTATGTGTAGGTAAGGATGGGCCTGATCATTGTCCCAGCCACTCCTCTCCCACCCCATTCCTATTTCCCAGGTCCTGTACCATTATCTACACATGATCCCATACTAGGGCAGCCTGGGGGGTAGAGACAGGGATCTTTAGCCAGGCAAGGTTCCCAGGGTATCCAGCTGTTGCTCCTTTTTCCCATTCTCTAGAACTCTCCATTTTGGGGGTTGATGCTCTAATACCATGCCATGAGGATGACAAGGCAGAAGGGAGATGGAAAAAGGAATAGAGAGTAGTGGAGCTCAGGTTCCCTCTTTGGTTTCTCCATCACGGAGTCTGACTTGAAATATCCAACAGGTCTCCCCTTTCCTCCATCCCTGGCCCCTGGTTCCTCACCCTCATACAGCTCAGATGTCATGGGCTCCAAGACCAGTTCTGGGGCAGCCTCCATCAGCACCATGGCGGCCTCCAGGTTGTCATAGAGGGCCGCTATGTGCAGCGCTGTCTCTCCCATGGCTCCTGAACAGAAAGAAGAGGCATGGGGCTTCAAAGGGCAGTGGGATGGGAACAATGGTGATTTGGGGGCCCACAACAGAAGGTCTTGGGCTATCCTGGGGGAGCCACTCACATGCAGCTGACCTAGAAAGAGTGGGGTGCTGAGGGCTTTGTTCCTTTCTTACCTCTTTGGTGCACCTCACAGGCCTGATACTTGAGCAGCTTGTTGAGAGTCTGGACATCATTCTCTTTGGCAGCTAGAAGGAAAGGACACTCCAAGATCCTACAAGGGGATGGGATCAGAAAAGTATCAACAGAGAGCATGCCCAGTGGTGGCATGACAGGTGAGGACTTTGCTTGATTGTATATAAACACATGGTCCTCCATGACAACGAACCCCGAAGTTCCTGGAGCAGGGAAGTGAGGCCTTTGGAGTGCAAAGAGTTGCCTGATCTCTTTTTCTTCCTGACCAGTTAGCCTAAAACTCTGACTGGTTTCTACATCCACACCTACCCCCACCCCGACCCCTGCTAGGTTGCTGGCACCAGAATGTGTGTGCATAGCAGGCATGGAGGGGAGGAGCTCTACTTAGGCACTGGCTCACCTTCTGAACTATTGACTTCTGAAACAACCCTGATTTCGCCCTCACTGAGTGTCCTGAGATGATGCTCCATGATAAGCCTTGTTTTCAAGGACAACGAATACAAGGCATTCCTCCCTTGTGGAGAAAGTAAACACACAGAGGTCAGCAGGTTTTTCTCCTGTAGCCTGGTGCTCTGCTTCCTGGATCTTCTCAGGGAAGCCCTTTGATCCTGGATCTTCCCTCCCTGTACCAGCATCTTTAGGGCTCAATCCAAAAGGAATAGTGTAGCCCTTTTATTTTCCTGGCCCCTAAGTCCAATTATAGTCTCTTCCTACTTCCTATTTCTCACTTGTTTTAAGCAAAAATCATCTTCTCTGACTCCTCAGATCCTCTCTTGAATTTAATTCCTACAATTAACTCAAAAACATCTTTAAAAAAATTTTTTTTATTAAAACTTACTTCAACTAAGACACTTGGGACCCTTTTCATTCAGTTTTCTCTCTCAGCCCAGAGCCAAGGGGTCTTTCAATGGAAGTGAATGAAATAACCATGTTTATTCAGAGATGGCCAATTATGTGACAAAAAGAGCCAGAAAGGTGCTCACACACCTGGTAGTGGTAGGAAACCCACTCCAGTGCTGGGGGTAGGAGGGCAATGAGCCCCAGACACATCTCCCAGAATGGGCTGACACATCTCCCAGCCCCCTCATGCCACATAGGCAGCTCCCTGGCCTAACCAATTCATCTCATTCTCTCTCCATTCAATCTCTACCCCCTCGTCCTGTCTTCTCTTCATTAATTTATGCCCTCATTCTCTAGCCCAAGATTAGCAAAGTACTCCCCTGATTAGTCTCACCACACCCTGTTTTCCCCCAGTTCATCTTTTTCGATACTGCCAAGATTCTCTCTTTAAACGGCAAATGCAATCACAGCTTGCAAAAGTTCAATGGGTCTTTTAATGCCCAAGGAGAAGGGACCCTTTACAGTTTCTGGGAAATACTTTTCCATGCTCTTTTCCTTCCACTTACATCTCCTACCCAGCATTTTCAGCTCACCACCTGTGCCATGCCCTGCTCTCACCTGACATGTACCCCCCATCCCGATAATTGTTTCTTCCATGTTGCTAGAATAAGTGCCCAGCCTATAGTAGCCATCTCCATTCTCTGTAGAATGAGTGAATAAGGAGCAGTGCTAAAAGATGGTTTGACCTCACTGTCCTTTCTTATCTTTTTTTTTAAAAATATATTTTATTGATTTTTTACAGAGAGGAAGGGAGAGAGATAGAGAGCTAGAAATGTCGATGAGAGAGAAACATTGACCAGCTGCCTCCTGCACACCCCCAACCGGGGATGTGCCCACAACCAACGTACATGCCCTTGACAGGAATCAAACCCAGGACCTTTCAGTCTGCAGAACGACGCTCTACCACTGAGCCAAACTGGCTTCGGCCCTTCTTATTATCTTTACTAGAGGCCCAGTGTGTGAAATTCATGCACTTGGGGAGGGGGTATGTTCCTCAGCCCAGCCTGTGCCCTCTCCACAGGAATCGGGCCTAAACTGGCAGTTGGAAATCCCTCTTACAATCTGGGACTGCTGGCTCCCAACCACTCACCTGTCTGCCAGCCTGTCATCCCCTAACCACTCCCCTGCCAGCCTGATAGATATCTAACTGCTCTCCTGCAGACTTGATCACCCCCAACTGCCCTCCCCTGCAGGCCTGGTCACCCCCAACTGCCCTTCCCTACAGGACTGGTCACCAACAACTACCCTCCCCTGCAAGTCCCCTTGTGGTGGCCATCTTTGACCTCATGGGGGCAGCCATCTTGTGTGAAGATATGAGGGTCAATTTGCATATTACCTCTTTATTAAATAGGATTGGCCATCCCCAAGCCAACTTTAAGCTAACATATAATCTAAGAAAAAAAAAATTTTTTTTTTTAAATTTTAATGGTATCCTCAGTATGCAAACAGCTGCAAAACAAGTTTGCTAATACTCTCCTTCACCACATTCACTATCTTCTCAACAATTTGGCCAAACTTCTTCTCTATAGATATCCTAGGGTCAGCACTATGCAGGCACACAAATAGTCTCCCAGGAAGGTTTGTACTCTCTCGGCAGGCCTTAGCTCACACACTTAGCATGTGTGTTATAATTAGTATTTATCTCTTTCTTTGAACTAGGGGACTTGAAGACAGTTACCAGTCACTTTCTCATCTCTGTATTCTTTCCCTGGCCTCCTCCAATTAGCTTCTAGTTTTGTGTCTGGCTTTGACTAAATGTGTGAAATGTTAACAGCAAAGCTAGCGATGGGTCCCAGAGCTCTTCTTACCCAAGTTCCAGCTTTATCATAGCTCCCTACCTCCTAGGGTATGTATGTGGAGGCTAGTTGGTGGTAGGCCCAAAAATATATATTCCTTTTCGGCCCTACACATCTCTGAAGCCAGTAAAAAACCTCCATAGACATCCTCTGTGTTCATTTCCTTGCCTCTGCCCACGGTCCTACTGGGCCTGAGAAAGTCAAAGAGTAACTGTCCAACACAGGCTTGCCAGGTATACCAAGTAAAAATATGCAATGCTCACTTCCATTTGAATTTTAGACACACAACAAATAATTTTTAGTGTAAGTTTGTCCCATGCAATATTTGTGACAAACTTACATGAACAACATATTATCTGAAATTGCAATTTAACTCACTATCCTGGTCTTATCTGGAAAGCACAGTCAGACCACACTCTGCGTGAAGAACTGGCTTAGAACTCAACCCAGCAGGGTTTATAGAGAACTGGCTTCCTCTGGTTGGCAAACTCAATAATCCAGCAAAATGAGGGGCAGCCTGTCAATGGTTCTGAGGGGATCAGGCAGAGCCGTTACTTGCAGTAGCATCACAGGACCACCAGGGGACAGCAGAGAAAGCCCTTGCTCACATTCTTAACAGGAAGGGGGTCTCAAACACCTGACCATTCTTGGATCCCATAAAAAGGCGCAAAAGCAGACTCATTCAAAGATTCTTATGCCTGAAACACTGGTCATTTCTTTAATAGCAATCCAGCCCAGAAGTTTAGATCTGGAGCAAACTCCACACATCTTCAACAAATAGCTGCCAGACACCTCCCCAGGGCAGGAAGAGGAGGAGCTATGGAAGAAATATCTTCCCATTTGGATGGTTAGATTATGCTCTTTCCCTTCCAGGGGAAAAACTGTCACTGTTTAGCAGAATACCTCACAATACTACTGGAATTCCCTAGTTACAAACAGTAGTTTAGAGCAAGGGTTCTCAAACAGAGGTGAGCCCTCCTGGATTCCTCTCCAAGGAACCTGGCAATGTCTGGAGACATTTTTGATTGGTGCAACTGAGGAAGGAGGTACTATTTTCCTTTGGTGGTTGGAGGATGGAATGTTGTTAAGCATCTTATATAAGCAGCTTACCATAATAAAGTACGTTCCTGCCCGCCATATCAACAGTGCCAATGTAGAAAACCCCCAACTCAGAGGTAAAATTATTCATAAGCCATCTTTTAAAGAGAATGCTTCACATTCAAAAGGATGAGAAATGGCCTATGCATACATGTTTTCTTACACATCATTAAACAAAAAGGTGAAGCCTTTTAAGCACCCACTGATTATTAAGTAGTAGCAAAAAAATTATAGAGCAAATCTGCAATTATGACCATATGAAAGGTATCTGCAGGACTTAGAATGTTTTATTTTGTGGGGCAATTATTTACCAAGTTGACAAATAGTTCTACCTTTGACTGATGCAAACTTCATTACAAGGTCTCTGGCATACAACCTGGCACATTCTTCATAAACAAATCACAGAGCTCTCCCTCAGGGTTCCCTCCAGCCACCAAGTGAGAATCTCCCACTTCTCCCAGTTCCCACCACCTGGGCTCTCCCCCTTCATTCTTAAACAGGTGTGTGTGTGTGTGTGTGTGTGTGTGTGTGTGTGTGTGCTTGTGTGTGCTTGTGGGTGCACAAATGTAGTTTTGTATTGGGTTGCTGGGAAACAAGGCAGGATCAAGAGCGTCTGCAGGAGAATTCAGATCAGAATTTTAGAGCAGGGTAGTCCCTAGAAAACTAGTTCTATCTGTTCATGCAACAGATGGAGAAAGAGGCCTGGAGTCGGAGGTGACTTGTCCTAACAAGTCAGAGGCAGAGCTGGGACGAGCTCCCTAGTTGTCATTTCTCTGTCCCCGTTCTCAGTGTTAATCAGCGTTTCAAATGGGATTAGAAGAGGTGCAGGGGACTTTATGGACCTGCCTGGGTTTCACTGGTTTTGTCACAAGCACCCTCTCACAGAAGGCATGGGAGGCTGTCATTTGGGAAGGGCAGAGCACAGACAACACGGTGGCTCAGAGTTCAGTTCCAGAATGAATATGGTTCTGACAGGAGGAAATTGACAGCCCCTCTAAGTTCCTGCCATCACGGGAGGTGCTCTTTTACTGTGTGGATTTTGTTTATCACAATAATCCCTTTTCAGCTTCCAAAGCAGCATCTCGCTTATGATCCCTCCTCTTACTCCTTACAGCCCTGCCACACACGTCTGAATAATGCTCTCACTTTTCAGTAAAGGAAACTGAGGCAGCAGAGCCAAGTCATGGCTGGAAGATCACACAGAGTTAAAGGCAGAATGCTTCACCAAGAACCTAGCCTTAGGCGCTCACCACTAAATTATGTGGTTCTTCAAGTTTTATGACTCTTCCCAGGGGAGGGGGCAGCCCAGAGCAGTGACCACAGATGAAGGAAACTGCAGCCCCGTATGGGGAGGAGACACACACTGGCCATTCATGGGTCACCTCCTTCTAGGTCAAGTTCCTGACAACGGTTCAAAGCTTCCAGGAAAGTGGCTGTTTCCAGACTTAGAGTCGGGCCACCTTTCTATCTGCCAGAACGCCATCAAGCATGCCAGTAGCCCTGTGTGCCTGTCAGGACTCATGTGCGTGTGTTTACTGAGGCAGGGAGTCCAGAAATGCTGCTGGGAAGTCCCAAGGCTTGCTTTTCATGGACACGTCAGTTCACATATATTTACGGGTATCTATCTAAACAGAGGAGAAACTTCAGTGTTCATTTCCTTCCCGAAAACTAGTGGGAGGGAGACTGTGCCAGCAAGGGGGTCAGATGTAAGGGTTAGATTAGACAGCCTCTGGAAGCTGCCCAGCACACCCCACACCAGCTGAAATCAGACACCACAGTGTCCTCCTCTATGCTCCATGGCACTGTCCACACCCTTTTTAGAAGCTCACCAAGCATTGACAAGTAGATGCATATTCATGTATTTCACCCATGAGAATCCGAGCTCCCAGAAAGCAGGGGAGGAGCCATGCTCATAGTAGAGTAGTTTCTGCTCAATGAATGTGTAGGGCACTGAACATCAGGAAAGTCAACTTAAGGCCCAAAGGAGAGTTCAGCTTGGATGGCAATGACAGGGATTCAACAAGAGTGGGCTGCATGACTGAGAAACAAGAAAAGTCCACCGTGACCAGCTGGTGCGGCTCAGTGGTTGAGCATTGACCTAAGAACCAGGAGATCACAGTTCAATTTCTGGTCAGGACACATACCCAGGTTGCAGGCTCTTATTCCAGTTAGGGAAGTGTAGGAGGTAGCCAGAGATTCTCTCTCATCATTGATGTTTCTATCACTCTCCCTCTTCCTTCCTCTCTGAAATCAATAAAAATACATTAAAAAACAAAACAAAATAAACAAACAAACAAAAAACACTGAGAAGAATGCTGGCTTCTCCATCATCCTGGAGAGACCAGAAAGCCCTCCCTCATCAATGGATGGTGCTATACCCGTGAAATCCCCCCAGTCCCTTCTGAGTCCTGGGTACAAATCCCCAAGGTCACTGCTTGCTTTCTCTGGACCTGCCTCCTTCATGAGGGATAAAGCCCTCCCTCCCACAGTTAGATCAGGGACTCTGAGATAAGATGGGTGCTGGTAACATTTTTGGCTACTTTCTTCCATCAGTGCACCCCCTGACCTGACTAAATTGTCCTCGTGCCCATGGATATCTGGTATTTATCTAATTACCTGCATCTCCCCTTAGGCTCTCCCCTTCCTGGTTATTTCAGGGCCACCCAGTGGACAGTCAATAACAATCCTGGCTCCTGGTTGGGAAGAAGAGGGCCAAGGATCTGTGGAATGAGGCAAGGAGAGCAGGAATGGAGGGGAACCCCTCAAAGTGGTGACATCCAACCTTTGTAGTCTGAGATACAGGAGGAGGCCCCCAGATGATCTTAAGAAGAAATAGAACAGAAAGGACAGGTAGAAGCAGCCCACTCGCAGCCAGGCTGTGGTCCTTCAGAGACTCTGTCTATGCCTCACTTGGGCACAGAGGGAACTTCCGCCACTCCTTCAGAAACCGCAGGCCTTTCTGCGCTATGTGTCTGGCTCCCAGCCCTGGGGTCCTAAGAGTGGGAAGGGGATGAGTGGGACCAGTGATGGCCTCGTCTACAACACCACCACCATTCTATTGCCTCAAGATGTCATCAGCCAAACATGTGCTCAGCGCCAACTCTCCCAGGCCTGGGGGACAGAGGTGGGTGGCTGATGTGAGAGATGGGAAGCCAAAACAAGGAAAAAGGGGACTCATCCCAGCCCAGAATCCTTGAGCTAAAGAAGAAAACTCACAGGGGCTCTATGTGACCTCTTAGCTTTCTCCTTCTTGGTCAGGCTCAGACAAGCTCCTCCATTGGTACATGGACACAAAAAGTTAATGCATATGAATATGCATTAGACATATTATCTGCCTTCTTAGGAGCCCAGGGAAACCCCAACAGGAGGATTTCCTCAGGCATGCCACTGCCTGGGTGAGGTAATCCATGGAGACTTTGGAAGGAGACTACACACTGGGATGGCTTCAAGCTTCCTCCATGTCCCCAGCTCCCAACTCTAAGCTGCCAGGAATGATGGGTGGGGGGACATTTTCAGGGGCTGGAAGCAACAAGTAAAACTTCGATAGGGCTCAAACTCTAGAGCCTCTCAAATGCCACAATTTGGAGGAGGGAGTGGGCGAGCATGGGTCCTAAGTATATTTTAGTCAGTTTCCAGTACCCCAATAGAGAATCATAGATTTTAGGCTGGATCCCAGTTGTTCATATTCAGACCCTCCCATCAATGGCTGATGCAGTTAATGTACAGGAATGATAATCACGATCATATTTGGGCTTCTTTTGGGGGTTCCTAGGGTCTGCAGATTCATTCATTCATTCATTCATTCATTCATTCATTCATTCATTCCCACATGCCTACGTATGTGTGCTATATGTTTCTGCCTGAGAGACTGTTCAAGGGGCAAGGACTAGAGGTATTAGGCATTGCTCTGACCCCCCCAGCATACCTCTAGTGGATGTCACAGTCTCTCAAGACCCAGCAAGTTGCCTGGCCATTAGGAAAGTACAGTGGACCCTTGAACACTGTGGGTTTGAACTACGGGGATCCACCTATAAGCAGATTTTTCCCCAATGGATTTTTTTTTCCATTCAATTGATAAGTACCGCTCAATTGACCCCAGCAGCTGAAACCTACTTAACGTCAATTGGCCGTGGAGAATCCTTGTATGCGGAGGGCCGACATCAGTTATTTATGGCTTTTTGGCTGCACCCTTCAGCTCCCCTAAACCCCACATCGTTCAAACATCAGCAGCACTTCCAAGAAGCTGCATTACTGACTTGGATCTTACAGATAGGGAGATCTGTGTGCACACCGGCCTCCTCTCCCACCTGGAGCCCTGGGGCCCCGCAGGCCAAGACTCTTGAGACAAAATGCTCCCAAGGAGCCAGGCGTGGAGTACAGTCTGTCTAGACAGAGGTGCCAAACAAAGACGGAGAAGGAGGAGGGGGAAGGGTGCTGAGAAAATGGGAAGGAGGTGAGGAGCACCAGGTGGAGGCTGCTTACCTCTTCTGCTGCAGCAGGTTCTGCTCATCTCGGCTCTGAGCCCAGGACTCCTGTCTCTGGAACCATCTGCAGAACTTTCTCCACAGGCAGAGAATGAGGCCCGTCTTCTTGGGCAGTGGCAACCCCATGTCCTGTAGGACAGGCTCCTTGTAGGGCTGAGGCAGAGACCAGATCCCGACTGAACTCCGCCTTGGAGCCACATTGGTCTCCCCAAGGGCCAGTCTGCCCTCTCCCTGCAGAGGTCCCATCTCCTACCTCCCTGGCCCGCACAGGAGTCTCAGGGAGGCACCCCAGCGAGACTGAAGAGGGCTGTGAGTTTGTTACTCTTGGCAGAGCTGGGACTCCCTCATTGGGCTCCTCAGGCAGGAGCTCCTCAAAGCGCAAACTCCCTCCCTCCTCCCAAATTACCTAAGATTTAAAGAGACAGGCCAGCAGCCCTGCCTGCCACCTGGGGCCTTGCGTAAACTCCTTCACCTTGGTCTGGCTCCCTGCCCCTAGGCCAGTCCAGGGAAGGGAGCCCTTCCTCTAGACTGGAGAGATCTCCCTTGGACTTTGGGACACCTGCTCACCTTTTATAGAAAGGTTTGGGAGGGTCAAACTAGGCTGAGAGACTCAGGCAGTGAGGGAGGAGGGAGAGGTCAGGCAGGCCTTTGGGGGTTGAGGGCCCCTCAAGTGAACAAGGGAGTGAGCCCACCTTTCTCACAGGTCCTGTCCTTCAGCTTCCCCCCACCTTTTCCTGTGCATCTATGCTGGAGACTTAGCTTTTCTTGACTCTTCCAATTTAATCTCCCACCGGCCTAGAATAGGTATACAGTGTTGAGAACTTAGTCTCCTCACCTACTGGGGATCAGCAAAGTGTTCCAGTAAGGGGCCAAGAAAGTAAAGGCAAATATTTTAGACTTTCAAGCCCCAGCATACAGTCTCTGACGTACATTCTTTTTTTTTTTTTTTTTTTTTTTTTTTTTTACAGCCCCTTTAAGATGTAAAATCTACTCTGGGTTCATGAGCTCAGACACAACATGGAATTCAGCTGGACCTGGCCCCTGCACATTGTTTGCTGCACTCTGGACCTCAAGACCCTCCCTAACACAAGATATATGTAGTGGGGTACCAAATAAAACCCCAGGATGACAACTCAAGTTGAATTTCAGATAAACAACAAAGAACTTTTTTTAGTGTAAATGTTCCCAAGAACTGCAAATTTTTTCTCTTACAACCTCCAAACGGCCACAATGTTTATTCACCTGCTCACCATTGCCTGCTAAGCCCTTAGCTAAGTGGTCCCAGGTAGGTTTTTGTCATACCTATGAGGGATGCTTATTACCTGCATTATACCAATGGGGGTGAGGGGGAGCAAAGCTCAAAGTGGCAAAGTAGATCACCCGGAGCCATACGGCCATTCAGTGACTGAGGCCAGATTCAGACCCACTGGCTTGATGCAGAAGCCAAATCTCTCTACCTTACCACATGCCCTTGTTCCTACTGAGTTCCAGGAGGGAAAGGGAAATGCAGTCACAGTGATGGAGGATTGCAGAGAGCACAGCCCATCCTGGTCCCACACACAGAACTCTGCCATGTGTGAGCCGGGAGCCCTGATGAAGATCAGTGACTTCATTTTTTTATGCTGGGAATAAACAGAGGCCGTAGCATATGCAGAGTCCCACAGCGAGCCAGAGACCCACTGGCCTGGCACCTGGGTACTCAGAGTCCCAGGTATGTGGGGGCCACCCACCAGCTTAAAATTTTTTTTCTATGTATGCCTGATTCAGAAAGAGAGAGAGAGAGAGAGAGAGAGAGAGAGAGAGAGAGAGAGAGAGAGAAGAGAGGGGACATGTGTGGGGAGAAGCACAGCTTAGGTGCAGGGCGGGGTATCTCTGTGGCCAGGTAGAGGAAGGTCACTTGCAAAATGAAAGGGAAGCAAGTCTCCTGCCGTTGGCCCAGGGCCAGGCCAGAGCGCCCTGAGCAAACAGTGCCGTTCAATTAGCTGCCTTCCCCACCCATCCAGGGTCAGTGGGTTCGGGCTGGGTGGGGGGAAGGTGCTAGAACCCAAACCTTGAACCCAGGACCTTTGTGCCCATTAAGCCTGTGTTTGTCTGCCTGGTGACCCACCCACCTTCTCTGTCCTGCTGGACTCCAGCCAAAGCCCCCAGTGCAGTCCCTGTTGGGGGAGAGAACAAGGTAATGCCGTGTTTGCATAAGGGGGAGGAAGGCTACAGGGGGAATCAGTCATCCCAGACTTCCTTTTCCTCCACCACCTGGTGCTGCCATGAATGGGTCACCAGGACAAATGGGAAATTGCAAACAGACTGAAAATTGGTGTGGAGGGCTGGAGGGGAGGGACCAGTGTACTAGATACTAGCTTCTACCAACAGTGTCCTCTCACTTCTTGGACGGTGGGCAAAGGTGGGCCACCGGGTGGATGATATTACCTACATGGTCCTCTCACATCTTAAAGCCACATTCCCTGTACCCTCCTGGGATTATGGACTCTGAGGGGACAGAGAGCTGTAATGGAGTGTGGCCCACTCTGAGGAGTATGGCAGGCTAACCTGGCCCACACCAGGGCCATGCTGGGCAGCACCTCCCAAATGGGAAAACTCAGTTGGTTCTGCAACCCAGAGTCCCAGACTCCAGTGTGCAAACACAGGAGGCTGCAGGTGCAGGGGCTAAGGGGGAGGATGGGACGGTCACAGCTGCTAGCCTTATCTGGTGAGACTTGCCATCACACCCTCTCCAAGTCCCCCTGCCCAGATTAAAAATTTAAGAAAACCTTTACAACTCTGGGCAAGTCACTGTCCCTCTGGATGGGCCCACCTATAAAGATGAGCATACAACTTGTGGTAGCTGACATCCAGTCTGCCCTGACCTCATGGCACTCAATGTCCGACCTATTTTTAGAGGAATGAAGAGATCAGGGACCATGGGGGAGGGAGGACTGGAGGGTCAATGTTGACTGGGTCTGAAACAGGTTCTTCCTGCCTCGGGGTGAGCTTGAACTCTAAGCAAATGTTAGATCCTCAGGATTCAATGAAGAAGCCTGGGGGGAAGTGTCCACCAGAGTCAGACTGGCCTCTTCTGAGGGCCACACTCGCAGGGGTAAAGGGGGTCAGAGAGATGACATGTATATGTATGTGTTGGTATGAACAGGTCTGGGGCACAGCCCAATTAGGGCTGAGAAGTTGCCTACTGATTCCTGCATTTGGGGTTCCGTTTCTCATCCTGGACACTATTGATACCTTGGAACAGAAAGCTTAGTAGTATGGGGGCTGCCAGCATTGAAGGATGTTTAGCTGCCATTCACTGGGTGACAGGAGCATTCCCTTGGCTCAGGGGTAACAATTAAGAATGTCTTTAGGCCGAAGTCAGTTTAGCTCAGTGGTAGAGCATCGGTTTGTGGACTGAAAGGTCCGGGGTTCGATTCCGGTCAAGGGCATGTACATTGGTTGCGGGCACATCCCCGGGGTTGTGCAGGAAGCAGCTGGTTGATGTTTCTCTCTCATCGACATTTCTAGCTCTCTATCTCTCTCCCTCTCTGTAAAAAATCGATAAAATATATTAAAAAAAAAAAAAAAGAATGTCTTTAGACACTGATTGTTGTCTCCTGGAGGGAAAAATCACTCTCCATTGAGAAACACTGATACAGGGCAAAAAAAGTGTATTCATAAATTTTGTTCTGGTTTTATCCCTATTTTCATTTGTTCTGAGTCTTTCTGTCTCTCTGTTTATTTCTTGCTCAGGCCTCTGTCTCTGTAATTGTATCTGCTCCCCTGGTCTTAGTCTCTGAGCTGGCACATGTGGGATTTCTGTGCATTCAGGTGAAGTTGCAGTGTATGATGTGGGGTGTGTGTGCGTGTAAAGTGTGTGTGTATAAATGGGGTGTGTGGAGTGGAGTTGTGATATATGAAGTGAGGTGTGTGATTAATGCTGTGTGATTGTGGTGTGCACTCATGGGGTGTGTGATGTGTGATGGATGCTGAGTGTGTGGTTATGATATGTGATATGGTGTGTGTGTGTGTGTGTGTGTGTGTGTGGTGTGTGATGGATGCTGTGTGTGTGGATGTGGTGTGTGCTATGGTGTGTGTAATGTGTGATGGATGCTGTGTGGTTGTGTGTGATTTGTGTGTTGTGTGGTGTGTGTGTGTGTGTGTGTGTGTGTGTGGTGTGATGGATGCTGTGTGTGGTTGTGGTGTGTGATATAGTGGGTGTGTGTGTCTGTGTCCAGGACTCTGAGTGGTCTGTCTGTGGAAACCTGGTTATTTTGTCTTTTCTCTCCTCTCTGCCACTTTGTTTCCTTGTGCAGCTTACTGCGTCACCCCATTCCTGTTCCCCACACCCTCTTTGAGGGTGTCCTTTAGCTCTGCTGTCAAGAGAGGGCAGGCTGGGCAGGTCAAGGAACTGTGATGACAGAGCCACTCGGGGCAGTGAGGTCACAGCCATTGCTCAAACTGGAGTTTGTTCTAATGATATATATATATATTTTTATTGATTTCAGAGAGGAAGGGAGAGATAGAAACATCAATGAGGAAAGGAAATCATTGATTGGCTGCCTCTTGGGGATTGAGCGTGCAACCCAGGCATGTGCCCTTGACCGGAATTGAACCCAGGACCCTTAAATCCACAGACTGAAGCTATATATACTGAGCCAAACTGGCTAGGGCTGGAGTTTGCTCTAGTCACGGGGCTCATAAGCCTGTGTGCCAGCTCATAAAGCCTGCACAGGAGCAATGTCAGGTCAGCAGAGAGTGTAACTCATGTGCACACACACTTGTAGGCACATATGCACAATCACGAGGGCCACTGTACTGCCAGGGCCTTGGGGGGATGGTGACTGGAGCTCCTGGGCCTGTGCCCACCTGGATGGCAGCTGGTGCGAGAAACTCTCCACACTCCTTAGCTCAAACACCTTGTAACGCTGAGGACTGCAAGTCACAGTGACCCCTGTGTACACAAACACTTAAGCTGCCACAGGCCAGGGGGGTCTAAACTGTTGCAAAACTCTCATGCCCTTTCCCCCAAAATGTGACCTTAGCCCCTGGCCCCCCTCCTCATCCCGGGTGGGAACTATACTCCAGCCCTTTGCCCTCATCCTCGTCTCCTACAGCCTCTCCATGGTTGTCCCTGAGCCTGCCTGAATGCTCATACCATGGGGGGCCCTGCTGGCAGCTTCAGCCCGCCATGCTTTTTTGTTGTTGTTTTTTCAATTGTTATTGAAGGTTTTTATTTGGCTTGTAGATACTATTTTATTAAA